TGTTCTTCTCACTCACATCTGCCACATTCTGGTTTTGAACACTAGAGCTCCATGAAATTGCTGTAATTAAAATCACCAGTACGGGGACCAGCAGTTAGCTGGTAATGGCTATGTCACTGGACTCCCAGGTAGCCGACTGTGGTTCGAGTCCCAGACCTGGTGGCTTAAACTCACGGCGAGCACGTGTGTGTGCATGCCCAAGATCTTAAGAGGAGAATGGAGTAGAAGGGATTGCGGCATGGCCATCCCCCCTAATTTCTCGCTTTTTGTCTCTCTGTCTCTCTTTCTGGCGAGCACATGCGCCCTATAGCAAAAAACCTCTCCAAAAACAATTATTTTATTCAACTTTATTTATTTATTTATTTATTTATTTATTTAATTTTGACTAGAGAGGGACAGGGCAAGAGAGAGAGAGAGTAAGCCACCAGGTCTGGGACTCAAACCACTATCGCCCATGTGGGAATACAACATCCTCAAGCACCACGCCACCTTGCCAGCCCCTTGATCAAATATTTTTACTCATGTTTCTCCTAGGTATTATCATGGGTTTGTCTCTGGGCATGCTTTCCCCATTCCATTAATACAGTTAATTGATTTTTTATTTTTCACACAGTTCATTTGGCTATGAACTCATGAAAGCAAAGATCAAGTATTCTTTTTTTTTTAGAGAGATTTTCCCTACAGGGCACGTGCGCTCGCCAGACAGATAGAGACAAAGAGACAGAAAGTGAGAAATCACCCCCCAGGGGGGATGGTCACGCCGCAATCCCTTCTCCTCCATTCTCCTCTCGGGATCTTGGGCACGCACACACATGCGCCCGGCGTGAGTTTTAAGGCATTGGGTCTGGGACGCAAACCGTGGTCAACTATGTGGGAGTCCAGCGACATAGCCATTATGCTAACTGCTGGTTCCCCCTACTTATTCTTTAACAGGGTTTGCAGGCATAAAAAAGATACTCATTATCTTGAAGTTTCAAAGATTTTCTAGGTTATCCTGAAATGTAGCTGCTTATCTGGCATGACCTAATCGTAGGCTGTGTTGTGTACACATGTTCCATATTTGGCAGAGCAGGGAACAGACAGCGTGGCTGCCGTCTTCCCGTGTTCACAGTGTTTGCGTCTCTGGGTCATGTCAGCTTGACCCAGCTGCCGTGAGGTTCTCCCTCTGGTATTTTCGCCAGCCATTGGTGATTATTGCCCAGGTTCTTTATTTCATTAGAGATTGGAAAATGATAATGTCCATCTGCCATATGAATGCTAAGTGGAATAATTGGATACTTTATTAATTTGGATTTTTTTTATTATGATAAACAAAATTTTTGAATATTGTCTATTTTTAATCACCAAGTTCGGTCATGTTAAGTGTGTTCATGCTGTTGTGGAGCAGAACTTTGTTGTCTTGCCGATCTGAAACTTCATACTCATTCAGCCGCCCTTTTTCCCTTGGTGACCCCCATTCTGTGTTCTGTTTCTATGACTTTGACTACCTTAGATGCCTCACATAAATAGAATTATGCATCGTTGTCTTTTTGGTTTATTTCATTTAGCATAATGTCTTCAAGTCTCAGCCATGCTGTAGCACATGACTGAATTTCCTTTTTCAGATTTTTTTCACTGTGGTAAAATACACAAAACAAAGTTGACCATCTTGACCATGTGTAAGTGTATAGTTCAGTAGTAGTAAATATATTTATATTGTCACACTGCCATCACCACTGTACACCTCCAGAATTTTTCATCTTGCAAAACCAAAACTCTGCACACGTAAAACAGTAGCCTCTCATCCTTCCTGCACCTCCTAGAAACCACCATGTTACTTTTTGTCTCTGAATTTCAAGGAACCTTGTGTGAGTAGAACTAACACAGTTCCAGGGGCCAGCAGGTGGCATGGTGGTTAAAAGCGCTGGACATCCACATGGCTTACCATGGTTCAAGTCCTAGACCTGGTGACTGGCTTTCTTGCGCGCTCTCTCTCTCTCTCTGGCAAATTAAAAGATAACAATGATAAATAAATGATATAATTCTTTAAAAAAGAAATACACTGTCCTGGATGGATTTTTGATTCATTTCACTTGAGTGGTTTATCTCTGTACTGTTGGCTAATCAGGGTTGCAGTGTGACTGCAGGGTGTCCTTTGCACTCTGGGTTAGTCATACAATTATCACTAGATGGATGAGTCATCGTAGTGAGAGAGAGGGAGCACATCTGGTTTCGAGATTGTCTTTACCTTTTTCTTGTACTACAAAGACAAGGGCAGGCTTTCCTGTCTGTAGACTAATTCCAGCTCTCCTTCTCTTGCAGAAGTGATAGACCTCACTCATGATAACAAAGATGATCTTCAGGCTGCCATTGCTCTGAGTCTGCTGGAATCCCCCAAAATTCAAGCTGATGGAAGAGATCTTAGCAGGTTGTTGGTTTAGTTTTTACTCTTCACTCCTCTTACTCATGTGCAGGCCAAGGACAGTAGCTCAGAGTGCCACTCAGGAAGAGTTCTGCCAGGCTCCTTTAATGGCACCTGAATGCGGTTTCTTTCAGGAGACACTGAGTTTATATGAGCTTACTTACTCTTTGGCTCACTTTTTATTTTTGAGTTTTACAGTTTTTTCTCTATTCATGACAGAGCACAGGTATGAGCATGTGAGACGGGGAGGGAGAGGGAGAGATGGCACCCTACCCAGAGTCTGGCTATGCCGCGATCCCCTTCCTCCAGTCCTCAGTTCGTCGGGTGCTGGGCACTCAGGCCGGTGTCGGGATGTCTCAGCTAACTGCAGGTGTTCCAACTGCGGTTGTCTTGTGGAATCTGGTTCTCTCTCTTTCTTTTTTCTTTTTAAGAATTATTTTATTAATTTAATTAATTAATTTATTTATTTTTATTTGAACAGAGAGGGACAGAGTGAGAGAGAGAGATAGGGAAAGTGAGAAAGCAAGTCGCCAGGTCTCGGACTTGAACTGTGGTCGGCCATGTGGGAGTTCAGCACCCTTAACTACCCTCCAATTGCCGGCCCCAGGAATCTAGTTCTCTTGAGCAATGCTTTTCTGGCATGTCAGAGCCAGCTCTGGTTCACTTTTTTTTTCTTTCTTTATTTTATTTATTTATTTATTTTGGAGAGGTTTTCGCTATAGGGCGCGTGCGCTCGCCAGACAGACAGAGACGTAGAGACAGAAAGCGAGAAATCACCCCCCAGGGGGGATGGTCACGCCGCAATCCCTTCTCCTCCTTTCTCCTCTCGGGATCTTGGGCACGCACGCACACGTGCCCGGCGTGAGATTTAAGCCACCGGGTCCGAGACGCGAACCACGGTCGACTACGTGGGAGTCCAGCGACATAGCCATTATGCTAACTGCTGGTTCTGGTTCACTTTTTAAAAACCCAGATATGGAGCTGGCAGGTGGCGTGGTGGTTAAGGGTGCTGGACTCCCACATGGCCAACCACAGTTTGAGTCCTGGACCTGACAGCTTACTTTCTCATCCTGCACCCCTCTGTCCCTCTCTGGCCAAATTAAATAAATAAAGTTAAATAAAATAATTCTTTTTTTTTTTTTAATAAAATAATTCTTAAAAAAGAAAAAAGATGTGAGAAGGGTTTTATTGCAGTGTTTTTGAGTAGAAGCCATCAAGGTTTTAGAGTTTACAGTTATTAGGGGGAAAAACAACCTAGTCCAGGTATCAGATAATACACAATCAGGCTAGCTCTGTGATACGGAGAAGCCTTATCAAGTCAGCCCTGTAGCTTAGTGGTTAAGGGGGCCAAATCCCACACGGCCACCCATGATTCAAATCCCAGCCCTGGTGGCTTGAAACCCACACCAAGTGGAGGCTGTGGTTCGAATCCCTAGCCCAGTCACCTGACACATACCAGGTACCTGCACAAGTGCCCAGGATCCCATGGGCTGGAGGACTAGGGGAGGGGGATCATAGTGTGGCCAGACACCATTGTAGGTACTCATGTCCCCCCACCCTTTCTCTCTCTCAGTCATTCTCATGTACTTTTATCATGAATAAAGAACAAAAAGTTAAAACTGTGTATATAGTCATGTATTGCCTAGTGATGGAGGGACATTCTGAAACCTACAGCTTTTCATATAAGAGCCGTCCGTAGCATTGTGTCTCAACTCAGTTCCATAATGGACCCTACTAGTAGTAACCACTTTTATGGGAAGATTAAAATTTCTTTGTTTAATCGTTGCTGGTCACTACATTGTAATCTTTCAGTTATTATTAATACATAGTTTTTCTGGCATGTTTGAGTTATCTGTGAGAGGTCACCAACATCCTCCATATAAAAAGTGTTTTCTAACTACGTTCTTTTATTGCTATGTCCTTTGTTGGTACAATACAGGATGCAGGAGGCAACCGCTGCAGAAACTAAACGCTCCAAGAGGAAGCGCTGTGAGGTCTGGGGAGAAAGCCCCAACCCCAACGACTGGAGGAGAGTCGATGGCTGGCCAGTTGGGCTGAAAAATGTCGGCAATACATGTTGGTTCAGCGCTGTCATTCAGGTATGGTATTTTTAAGAGACAGTTGCGTATTTTGTAAATTAATTTGCTAAACTGAAATGTGAGGAATGACAACTTTAAAGAATTTAAAACCAGGGAGTTTTTTTCCCATGACTTTTTTGTGTTTTGGCTGCTTTCTTGTGTTCTGGATGAGAAGCTCTGGCGTCGGAATTGGGCCGCACTGCAAACACAGCCTCCTGTGGTTGGGATCCATTGTCTAGGTGTCTCAGGTCAGCATTTACGGAACACTCTAGGGCAGCAGAGCAAGAGTGGCTGGGGCGGGGGGCAGCAGGTGGTGTAGTGGTTAAGGTGCTGTACTCCCACGTGGCTGACCATGGTTTGATTCTTGGACCCAGAGACTTGAAACTCAAGCCAGGTATATGCACGTGCGTGCCCGAGATCCTGAGAGGAGAATGGAGGAGAAAGGATTGCAGCATGGCCATCCCCCCAGGAGGTGATTTTTCACTTTCTCTCTCTCTGTCTCTCCAAAGAGCACATGTGCCCTATAGCAAAAAATCTTTTTTTTTTTTTTTGGAGAGATTTTTACTATAGGGTGCATGCACTCGCCAGAAAGACAGAGACAGAGAGACAGAAAGTGAGAAATTACCCCCAGGGGGATGGCCCCGCCGCAATCCCTTCTCTTCCATGCGCCTGTCAATGTAAGCCACCGAGTCCGGGACTCAAACCACGGTCAGCTATGTGGGAGTCTAGTGACATAGCCATTACACCAACTGCTGGTCCCCAAAACATCTCTCTTAAAAAAAAAACAAAACAGTGACTAATGGGAGGTCAGTGGTGGCAGCCTGGAGTAGAGAAATGGTCAAAGTCACTGAAAGAAGTGAAACCGTTCTTGAGGTCTTGAGATCAGATGCAGGTTCTGGTGAGTGAGCAGATACCGGGTATGTGCAGGAGAGAGGCGAACAAGACACCACAGTTCCAACCCAAGCAACCACGATTAAGTGGATGACAGTGCCATTCCACACCATCGGGTGTGTGTTAAGTAAGAGTGGGTTGTAGTTTGAGCTGTGCTGAATTTGAGGTGCCTGTGAGACACCCACAGGGAGTTACCATGTAGCCAGTTAGCTATAGGAATCTGTGGTTCAGGGCCAGGTTGACAGTTACACATATTTTAAATAGGAAAGAACATAACTAAAGTGAAGAATATTTCTTTACTGCAGTTATTTTGAAAGAAAGACTTTGAATCCATTTCTTTCTTTATTTCAGTCTCTCTTCCAGTTGCCTGAATTTCGAAGACTTGTTCTCAGCTACAGTTTGCCACAGAACATACTTGACAATTGTCGCAGTCACACGGTGAGTTGGCGTGGAAGACTTTCTCCGCGGTGGTTTAGTCCCTTTTATCCCAGAGGCCTCGACATTTTTTACTACCGCTGATAACCGTGGTACTCTTAGGCTTGGGCTAATATTTGTTTTTCTTTTGAAATGGCACGTTTCCCGCCTTTGTGACAATAAATGAGAGTTTACAAAATTGTAAATGTGAGTAGGAATCAAATTAGAAGAATGTTCCAAGAAAGGGTGGCGAGTCACCTTGCCAGCCTCAACTCTCCTGGCGCTCTGGGAGGGAACCTCAGGCACCCACCCGTGCTGTCTGTGGTGTCCTCCTCGCTTCTGTAGCTGCCCAAGCCAGTGAGACAGTCAACGACCTGATGCCAGGGGCCGCACCCTAGAAGAAGTTTTGGTCTGTTCTTTCCAGAGGATGTAGCCTGCTCCCAGTGATCAAACACCTCCTAACACTCCATCTTGGCGAGATGCATTTTCCTAGCAGGAGAGAGGGCAGCAGCTTCACAAAACAGACATTTGTAATTTTCCAACAGTGTTATTTCTTTGGCGTCTACATTGTTATTCTTTTTTTTTTTTTTGGAGAGATTTTCGCTATAGGGCGTGTGCGCTCGCCAGACAGAGAGAGACAGACAGACAGAAAGCGAGAAATCACCCCCCAGGGGGGATGGTCATGCCACAATCCCTTCTCCTCCATTCTCCTCTCGGGATCCTGGGCACACACGCACACGCGCCCGGCGTGAGTTTTAAGCCACCGGGTCCGGGACACGAACCGCGGTCGACTACGTGGGAGTCCAGCGACATAGCCATTACGCTAACTGCTGGTTCCCTACATTGTTATTCTTTAGTTTAGCAAAATCCCCTCCAAGTCCTTGTCTAAGTCCTTAGGACATAATTTGAGATCTGGGTCTGATCTAGATGTTGGTAAATGTGGGAGTGGTTATTGACAGTTTTTCTCTTTACATTTTCATTTTTCAAATAAGCTGTTGTAAGGTTCACATTGCTGTGTTTTCTACAGGAAAAGAGAAATATCGTGTTTATGCAAGAGCTTCAGTATTTGTTTGCTCTGATGATGGGATCAAATAGAAAATTTGTAGACCCTTCAGCAGCCCTGGACCTGTTGAAGGGGGCATTCCGGTCATCCGAGGAACAGCAGGTAGAGAAGCCTCACTCTTCTCCTGTTTTCGAGGCTGCCCCATGCCCTTGATTTCTTGGTAGCAGCTGGTTCCAGTGTTCCTTCTTGATGATATGCAGCCCTAATGTGGAAATGCTCTCCTAGTAGTTGGAGCTGAATTCATTGGTGGGATGAGGGCGAGTTTCCATCTGCCTAAGCCCAGTGTTGGTTCTAACTCCTATGCTGTCTGTGCCTCTCTTGCAGCAAGACGTCAGTGAATTCACACACAAGCTCCTGGATTGGCTAGAGGACGCATTCCAGCTGGCTGTTAATGTTAAGTGAGTATCCAGAGTTTGTTCACAGTGGGCCACTGAGAGTTAAGATATGGGGGAAAGTTAACTCTTCTTAAGTAGAAATGCGCTGGTTTTTATCAAACCTGCCATGAGGTACTCCTCATGTGTAGCCCCACTGCCAGTGATTTTTCTTCTCGGAAGCTATAGGTGATCATTTTAACCTGTAACTTCTTTAAAAAAGAGCCATAACTGTTAACCTTGTGCAAGTCATACATAGCTCATGCAGTAAAATGTATTTTTAAAAAGGTCAGATCAGGAACCAGCAGATGGCATAATGGTTACATCACTGGACTCCCACGTAGTCAGCGTGGAGTTTGAGTCCTGGACCCAGTGGTTTAAAACTCATGCTGGGCATGTGTGCGTGCATGCTCAAAATCCTGAGAGGAGAATGGAGGAGAAGGGAACGTGGCCAGCCCCACAGGGGTGCTCTCTCACTTTCTGTCTCTCTGGTGAGTGCGTGTGCCCTGTAGTAAAATCTGTCAAAAAAAAAAAAAAATAAAAAGCTCAATCCTAGACGAGAACCTGGTGATGTAATATGGATACGTTGAATTTAGTCTAAGGCCAAGCTGGGTAGTCTATGCTGGTTGGTGCTGCTGTGTGGGAGGCCGAGGCCACATGGCAGGTCTGGATACAATTCCTGACTCACCCTAAAAAGCTAGGTGTGGGGCCAGTTCTGTATCCTGGTAGTAGAGGCAGCTCTATCCCAGCTGGCTTACCCTGCTGTTTGAGACAGAGCACGCAAGCATGAATGCCCCCAATCCTGAGAGGATGGAGAAATGGAGGAGAAGGGATTGGGACAAGTCATTCCCCATGGAGGGTGCTTTCTCCCTCTTCCTCTCTGTGTCTCTCTGTCTCTCTGGTGAGCGCATGTTCCTCCAAGGTGTGGGGGCTAGGTATGGTGGCACATGCCTCCAGTTCTAGCTACGTAGGGGCCAAAGCAGGACGACTGCAACATAGTGAGTCCCTGCCTTAGAATTTCATCTAAAACTACTTTTGAGGTCTGCGGAGAAAATGTTGGTCATTTCAGTCACTGGAAGAAGTGAAATTTCGGGCAGAGAACATGAGGGTACTTGAAAAAGTTTATGGAACAATGGAACTTTTAGTACTCACTTTCTATAAACTTTTTGAAGGTCCCTCACACAGTTGCTGAGAACTTTGTTTCTAACTAGTTTTAATTATGGATAGATGAATTATATATAACAGAATGACTTTGCAAAAGGCAGTCCACATAGTAACAATTTAAGATGGGTTTGGAGAAGAAAACTTTTAGTTCCATTTCTATTGCACTAAGGAGTAAACGTTTTTGTATTTTTATTTGCAAACTGCATAAGAAAGTCATTCTCATTTGTCTACTGTTTCTTTTTTAAAGAATTGTTTCTTTAATTTTATTTATTATGATTTTCAATTTACTATAGGGCACATGCACTCACCAGAGAGAGAGAGAAAAGTGAGAAAGCAAACCGCCAGGTGTGGGACTCGAACCGCAGTCAGTCATGTAGGAGCCTAGTGCTTCAACCAACACACCATACGCTGCCCCTCGTGTACCATTTCTGTATCTTATACATTGTATATGCATATCACTGAATATAGATGAATATAGTGAATGCATACAAATAAATGCTTGTATTTAGCAGTCTAAGTGACTCTCCTATTAAGACTTTAAGCAGTAAATGTTTGAACAGAAATAATGCTTTACTTATTACAGATTACGCATGGCATTTGGGGGGGGGTGGTCAGTGAAAATACACTATTTTTGCTTTTGAATCATAGTTGGGTTTGGGGTAGTGTGTGTCTGATTCAGATCTGACAAAGTTGTCTCCCTTTTTTAAAAGCGGTAGTTCCAGGAACAAATCTGAAAATCCAATGGTGCAGCTATTCTACGGTACTTTCCTGACTGAAGGGGTTCGTGAAGGTAAATTCTCTAACCTGAATGTTAGTTATTTCTAGACTTCCAACCTTATCTTTTTTTTTAAAAAAAAGGATTATTTTATTTACCTTGATTTACTTACTTACTTACTTAATTAAAATTGACCAGAGAAGACGAGAGAGAGAGAGAAAACAAGTTGCCAGGTCAGGGACTTGAACCCTGGTTGGCTATGTGGGAGTCCAGCGCCCTTAACCACCATCCCACCTGCCGGCCCCTTGACCATGTCTCTCTTACTGTACCCTTTGGGGGTGGCATAATAAATATACTTGAGAATCGGACAGACCCAGTGCTGAATATTGGTTCTGCCTGGAAGTGTCTGTGTCACTGTGGACAGCTCAAATCTAGCATTCATGTCAGACACGCAGTGTGGTAATGCAGTTTTCTCTGCATTGCTTTTTCCGATATGCTATCTAATCTCAAAAGGTTTTATTGAGTTGAACTGCCACAAATGTTTATCTGTGGTAGAGGCTTGTCTAAGCTGTGTGTTGGATACATAATTTTTTTTTCCAACTAGAGAATTTCAGGCTACACGCAAATAGCAGTATCAAAATTCCCATGAACCCAACAACCATTAGCCCATTGGCCGTCATTCCTCATCTAACTCTCATCTATTTTTACCTCCCAAATATTCCTTTCAAAGCATAATCCAGTATCACTACCACTGCCAAACAGCGTTTAGTTTTGATTTTTTTTTTTTCTTCTGTTTTTGCTTTTGGGTTTTTGTCATATGATGTGTGTGCTCACCAGAGAGAAAGAGAGGCAGAGAAAGAGACAGAAAGAGAAATCTCCCTCTAGGGAGAATGGTCACACTGTGACCCTTTTTCCTCCATTCTCCTCTCAGGATTTTAGGCATGTTCACACACACACTCTGTAATTTTCAAGCCACGGGTCTGAGATTTGAACTGCAGTCGGCCATGTGGGCATCTAGCTCTTTAACCACCATGCCACTTGTTGGTCCCCCAAATAGCATTTTTTTTTTTTTAAAGAATTATTTATTTATTTAATTCCATTTGTTATTCTTTTTTAATTTGACTGGGCAGAGACAGAAAGGGAAAGCGAAGAAGCAAGCCACCAGGTCTGGGACTTGAACCACAGTCGGCCATGTGGGAATCCATTGCCCCTAACTACCACACCACCTGCTGGCCCACATTTTAATTAATTAATTAATTAATTAATTAAAAAAGAATATTTTATTTTATGTTATGTATTATTACTATTATTATTTAATTTAACCAGAGAGACAGAGAGAGAGAAAGCAAGCCACCTAATCTGGTACCTGAACCGTGGTCAGCCATGTGGAAGTCTAGCATCCCAACCACTACACCACCTGTCAGCGCCCCCCAAACAGCATTTTAAAATATTGACTATTTAATCAGTTTTCAGATTTCTAATTTGTTTACATAATTTTTAAAAATAAAGTTTATTTTTGTAGTTTGTTTTAAACAGGGTCCCAATGTTACTCACTCACAGTTGGTATGTCTTCTAAGTCTCTCTTTGTATCTACACGTTCCCCCCTTCATCTTTTCTTCTTTGAAATGTACTTTTTTGGAGAACCTGGCTGGTTTCCGAGTATCTACCCCAGTCTGAAATTTTGCTGTGTGCATTCCCATGATACATATTTAACATACTCCTCTGCTCCTCTTGTAAATTGCTGGTTGGAGCTAGAGGTTTGTCAGATTCAGGTAAGACTGAACCTGTGGCCAGACTGATTTACAGGGGGCAGGAAAATGTTTAATTAGGAGGTACTTAATGTCTGATCATCTTTCTTTGGGCGTGATTAGCAGTGGTTAATGGTCAATGCTTGGCCCACTGGCTCACTAGAGGTCACCCAATAGGCTCCAGGGTAGTTCTAACCAGTGTTCAGGAAGCTGCTGCATTTTAAAAGATACTGTCCTTGTGGAGCCAGAAAATGGGCTTTAAATAATTACAGCGATGACTTTCAACATCAGTCTCTCTGTTTGCCTAGGAAAGCCCTTTTGTAACAATGAGACCTTCGGCCAGTATCCCCTTCAGGTAAACGGTTATCGCAACTTAGACGAGTGTCTGGAAGGGGCCATGGTGGAGGGCGACGTTGGGCTTCTTCCTTCTGATCACTCAGTGAAGTACGGACAAGAGGTGAGGCGCATGTTTCTGTCTGCTGTCCTCATGACAAGGCCAGTTAAGTAGCATGAGCTTTCAGGCACAAGTTTCCCATCACAAACCAAGTCATTGTACACTTGCCAGGTTTTGAATTTGTGTGAAGTCTCTCATCAGTTGACATGAGTTGAGTCAGCGAGTCTTAGCGCTTTGATAAAGAAAGTCTGTACTAAAACTATGCATTTGAGCTAATCATAATAAAGGTTGTATGCTGCTTCTGATGTTTTAAGTATGATCAAGTCTCTCTCTTTCTGTTGAAGCCTACCTGTACCTGAGTAGGGAGAACCCACTGCCTCCATATTTTCGGAGGGTAAAAGTACAGTGATTAACTCCTATGGTATGCCATTTAGAATATTTTCCCTATTACAGTGTTTATTGTTCTCAATTGTACATTCTGCCTTTGCTTTAACACTTTTTAATTTAGTTTTCTTTCCTTTATTTATTTATTTACTTGTTTATTTTCGTGGGTTGGAACGAAATGGGGGGAGTTAGAGGGTGAGCAAGGGTACTTCATATTCTCAGCATTCCAGTTGGGTTAAGCGTTAGTGAGTAGCATTTGTAGCCTAGTTGTCAGCACTACACAGTTTTGGTCATTAACCTCCAATTGTACATTTGAGTCAAAACAAGTCTAGCATCATAATTGCTGTGGGAAAAAGAAGTCTTGACTCAAAACGGGGAGGCTATCTTGAGCCTCTTGCAAGTGCATGATCTTGAGGCCCTCGGGGACTCAGAGAGAGCTGCTGCCTCCCTCATTTTTTGAGGGAAGAACTCGTTCCCAGTGGGAAGCATCTGGTCTGGACTGTCTGTGCAAGTAGGGAGGGGATGTTCAATGGCCATTTAGACCTCTGCAGTCCTGTAGTCAAGGATGGGAACTATAATAACAGGTGGAAAGCAAACAGAAAGTCACCTTGCTTTAGCCCCAAGGTAGTTGAGCAGACCATCTGCATTCACCTTATCGTGCCAATGAGTACCTGAAGGGAACACTGTTTGCACCTTTGGTAAAGGGAGCATTTAGAGGTTCGCCAGAACCTCGGACATGCAGATGAATCGAAAGCAGTGCCTTCCCTGGTTAAGCTTTTCTTCGTCTGTGGTCAGTAACTGGAAATTAAAATTTTTTTTTTTTTTTTAAATTTGGAGGTCAGTGCTTTTCTTTCTTGAAATTAAGGTAACTTTGTAGGTTGACTTGACTGGCTTTCTTATGAAATATCTGCAATTTCTAGAATTCAGATATTTTTCTCAGAAGGTTGAGAAATCATAAAATTAGGCTATTTCAGACTTCCTGTTTAGACATAAAGGGGATTTCAATTATGGTTAGTAGACTAAATAGTACCTAATGTGTGTACACATACTAGTGTTTGTACCTGAGGCCTGGACACATTTGTCTCCTCAGTCATGGGCTGTTCAGATGGTCGTTTCTCATTCTTCAGCTGTTCTAGCTGTTTTCTTCAGGTTTTGAACCACTTGAGTACTGAGGACTCTGTGAAGGAGTTGTGTAGATGCTCACTGCAGTTTACCTACCCAAGGGGGGTGGTTCTGAGGATGATGACTGAGGAAAAAAAACACTGTTGACTGGCTAGTAAGTTTGTACTCTTCAGGAATATTTAAACATATTCTCTAAGAGGGTAGGATTGTTCATTTCCTTTAGGATTAGGGATGGGAAAAAAATGCTCTAGTGTGAGTTGGATTTGAATATAAATTCTATACACGAAGAATAAAGTTTGATGGATATTTTAAATCTGGCTAGTGTTATTTTTTAGAGCTAATTTTTCTTTCTCCCACATTTCTGCTCCTGACATAGCGTTGGTTTACAAAGCTACCTCCAGTGTTGACCTTTGAGCTCTCAAGATTTGAGTTCAATCAGTCCCTTGGGCAGCCAGAGAAAATTCACAATAAGCTGGAATTCCCTCAGATTATTTATATGGACAGGTGAGCGTCTGGTTGGTTGTCTTCCTGGTGTATTGCAGCAGTGAAAATGAGCATGTACTAGGGACAGTGCTCAGAGATCACCTTGATCTTTTCTCCTCCACTTTCCCCTCCCTTCAGGATTTTGGGCATGCATGCACGTGTGCCTGGCATGTTTTTCCAAGCCACTGGGTCTGAGTCTTGAACTGTGTGGTCAGACATGTGGAATCTAGTCACCTTAACCACTAGGCCATGGTGGTTTTTTTTTGTTTTTGTTTTTTTTTTTATGCTAAAGTGTGCATGTGTAGGAGACATAAAAAGAGAGTGAAAGGTGATGGCGTTTGGGGAACAATAGGGTGTAAGAGGGAGAAAGTGCCCCCTCACAGGACCTGGTCACACAGCAATTCTCTTTTCTCCAGTCCTCCGTCCCGATAGGATCCCAAACACGTGTGCACACCTAGGGTGAAGCTAACAGGGCTGGGACTTGAACTCTGTTCAGCCATGTGGAATCTGGCTTCCTCTGTGTAGGGCTTACCTGTTGCACCACAGGGCCTGCCCTCTGCATGCCTTTTATTTCGTTTACTTACCTATTGCATGGCCGTGCCTTCAGGAACACACTGTGTAGAAGTGGTCGGAGTGGGCCATCTTGCCTCTTTCCTGGTCTTAAGGGGACTTTCACTATGAAGTATGGTGTCGGGTGAGCAGTTTTCATAGGTGTCCTTTATCTGATAAAGGAAGTTTCCTTGTACCCATAGTTTGCTGAGACTTTGTGTCATTAATGTTTCTAAATATAATTTGTGTTTGTGGGATTGTCATTTGCATAGGTATATGTACAGGAGCAAGGAGCTCATTCGAAATAAGAGAGAGTGCATTCGAAAGTTGAAGGAGGAGATAAAAGTTCTGCAGGAAAAACTGGAAAGGTGAGTTGTAGACACCTTTGTGCTTAGAAATGTAAAGAGTGGAATATTAATAGAAGAGTAGAATATTAAAATCAGATAATTTGTTTATAATTAAAATTGATTCAGAGTTTAAGTTTTGTTTTTTTTTTTTAAGAATTATTTATTTTAATTTTACCAGAGAGGGACAGTGAGAGAGAAGAGAAAGTGAGAAAGCAAGCTACCAAGTCTGGGACTTGACCCACGGTCAGCCATGTGGGAGTCTTAACACCTTAATTACCACACCACCTGCTAGCCTCTCCATTTCTCTTTTAAATTAGTGATGCCGAAGTGCTATTGCCATCTACTCTCTAACATATGACTTTGGACTTTATTTCCCACTAGTATTTTCATTTATAATGTCCTTTTTGATACAGAAGGTGATTATTTTTCTTTGGCTTTCCATACTAGTCCCTTTCTTTGACTTTACTGAGAGAAGAAAAATGTCAAGTGACTATTTCTTTGTAAAAGGTATCCAAGAGGGAACTGCCATCTTTAAGTAATTCACCAACATGATGAACACAAAGGGGAAGAGGAGAGGCACCTGAGAACTGTTCTCTAGGCCTTTCAGAAAACACGAAGTTGTTCCTTTGGCAACATCTATGGGAATCCACAAGAAAGGTGATATTGTACACATCAAGGGAATGGGTACTGTTCAAAAAGGAATGCCCCGGAAATGTTACCATGGCATAACTGGAAGAGTCTACAGTGTTACCCAGCATGCTGATGGCATTGTTGTGAACAAAGAAGTTAAGGGCAAGATTCTTGCCTAGAGAATTAATGCTTGTATTGAGCATATTAAACATTCTAAGAGCAGAGGTAGCTTCCTAAAACATGTGAAGGAAAATGACCAGAAAAAGAAGGAAGCCAAAGAGAAAGGTACCCAGGTTCAACTGAAGCGCTAGTCTGTTCCACTCAGAGAAGCACACATGCATGATGGGTGTTAAAAATTAATCTGCGTTCGGGACCAGCAGTTAGCGTAATGGCTGTGTCGCTGGACTCCCACGTATTTGACCACGGTTCGAGTCCTGGACCCGGTGGCTTAAACTCATGCCAGGCGCGTGTGCGTGCGTGCCCAAGATCCTGAGAGGAGAATGGAGGAGAAGGGATTACGGTGTGGCCATCCCCCCTGGGGGGTGATTTCCTGCTTTCTATCTCTCTGTCTCTGTCTGGCGAGCGCATGCGCCCTATTGCAAAAACCTCTCCAAAAAAAAAAAATTAATCTGCGGTCTATAAAAACGTTTTTCTTAATTGAGTAGAATCGTGTTCCCTTCCTAAAGCAAATTTTAATTGGGCTTTAATTCATTTGGTAATATCTTTATTTACATTTAGTATTTTTTTTAAATAATTATTTTGTTGAGCTTATTTTATTTATTAATTCATTTATTTTAATTTGACCAGAGAGGGACAGAGTGAGAGAGAGAGGAGAAGGGAGGGAGGGAGGGAGAGAGAGAGAAGGAAAGTGAGAGAGTAAGCCGTTAGGTCCAGGCCTCAAACCGCGGTCAGCCATGTGGGAGTCCAGGGCCCTTTACCATTACATCACCTGCTGGCTCCTCAAATTTAGTATTTTTTAGCTGAAAGCTGTTCAGTGGCTTATTATGCAACAAATTAAATTCAGTTGGTTAGGGAAAAAAATGGCATCCAAGAATTATGGGGCCATTTATACCAACCAGTTCAGGGCATTACTGTACCATTTAAACTCTGTGTACTTTAGTGAACCCTAGAATTCCTTAATCTGAATCTCTACTCAGTCTAATGTAATGTGCTAGCAGAATGTTAGATCTTACCAAAGTATTTGTTTGTTGTTTTGGTCACATACTTGAAGATGCTTATTTTCACTCATCCTAAAAAGATTGTCTGGCCCATACTATTGAATGAGCATAAATAATACAATACTTAAAACCCTGGGGACCAGCAGATGGCATAATGGTTATGTCGCTGGACTCCCACGTAGTCAACTGCGGTTCAAGTCCTGCACCTGGGGGCTTAAAACTCATGCTAAGCACTTGTGCATGTGTGCTCAATATCCCAAGGGGAAGATGAATGAGAAGGGATTGTGGCCTGGCCATCCCCCCTGGGGGGTGGTGAGTTCTCACTTTCTGTCTCTCTGGGTAGCGCATGTGCCCTATAGCAAAAATCTATTAAAAAGGAAAAAAAAAAAAAACTCTGAAGGAGAAAGCTGCTAATGCTTTTCTTAAACCCTCTTTATTTGTTAAAGAATTATTTTATTTAACTTTATTTATCTTATCTATTTATATATTTATTTTAATTTGACCAAAGAGGGACAGAGAGAGAGAGGGAGAGAGAGGCAAAGCAAGAAAGCAAGCCACCAGGTCCAGGACTCAAAATGCAGTTGGCCATGTGGGAGTCCAGCACCCTTAACCACCACGCTACTTGCTGGCCACTTAAACCCTCTTATTTATACTTTCCATTTCTAGCTTTTTTTTTTTCTCTATAGTAAAGTAGTTGGTGTAAAGAGCAGCAAAGAAAAACCCTTTGAGCAATAGTTCATTGGAGTTATTTTCAGAGTTGGGTACCAGTAGTAAATATATTTTCCTTTAAGAAAGAGTTAGTTTTTATGACTAGAACCTAAATATGACATGACATCCAGAGAAAGCGTAATTAGCATGACTTTAATTTCGAGCCCATTTGAGTGTTTTCAGCGGAATATAAAACTTTAGCTTGTTAGCAGTTTTTACTTTTATATTTAGAGAATTTTGACTGGTAGATTTTTTGGAGTAGCCTATTAAATATTGTGTAGTCTTCAGGAACATGGACCTTTCCAGGACCTTCCATACAGTAAACAGATCTGTTGTCAGCCTGTCTTAAATGTGAACCAGACTCTGGTGAAGTACCGCTGTCTTTGCCTCTAGGTATGTGAAGTATGGTTCAGGCCCAGCACGGTTCCCGCTCCCAGACATGTTGAAGTACGTCATTGAGTTTGCTAGCACCAAACCTGCCACAGAAAGCTGTCCTCAAAGCAGCCCATGCAGGACCTTACCACTTGCTTCAGTGCACTGCCCGGTTTCTGACCTGGCATCAAAGGAAAGGTAAGGAAACACATGTTTAAAATGATGCATATTAGTTTCCTGGGTTAATTTGGCACTGTGCGTCTTTCCACCTGATTAATACTCATCCATAAGAGCTCAAAGGGCCATGAGCTCTTTGTCTTAAAGGGATGATTTTTACCAGCTGTTACCTAGGTGGGAGTATTTATAATTCCAGCAGCCCCGGTCTTCTCTACATGGTGGTTGGGATTGTTCCAGAGGTTTATCAGGCTGTTTGTTTCAGAGTGTTTTTTGCCCAGCAAGCCTATTGTATTTTTTGAGCCAGTTAACTGCCATGAAGGGCTTTTTCCAGAGGAAACCCCAGCCCTGCTCTTCCAAAGCTGCTCATTCTCCCATTACCTATGAAATGTGCATGACCAAGGAATGACCAAGAAAAGACCAAGGAAAGAGCGAATGTTCATGAGCAGAAGATTACAATATAAACCAGAACTGGCTAGGAATTTAAGAGGACAGACTAGAGGAACTTGTCTAGTGAAGAAATAGAAGGCCGAGTCACCGAAGCCCTCTGATTATATTCCAACCCAGCCTCATTCAGAAGTCTTTATAGTCTGGAGTAGCTGCTAAGTCAGCGTGGATCACATTTGTAATGTGTGTTCCAGCAAATAAAGACAGCAGCATGCTCCCACACACCAAAAATGTAAGACCAGCATGTTAACAACCCCAGCCGTTCTCCCTGCCCCCTCAACACACACGCGTTAATATGAATTCATCTGTGTATGTAAAGGAGTGCTTATCTGGATAGAACACACCAAATGTTGTGAAGGGTTATCTCTAGGTAGTAGCGTGAGTCTGGGAATGGAGGGATGCTTCGAATGTTTATATTCTACTTTTTTTTTTTTTTTTTAAGAAAATAGAGTATTTTCAGGTATTTAGTGAAGTATAAGTGGTTTTAATTTTTAAAAAGGTGTTGGGCAAATTATTTAATCAAATAAATTAGTACTGCTTGATGTTACTAATAGATTTTAAAGTTACTGTGTGTGTGTGGGGGGGTGCGTTCTCTTCTGAGACCGAGCTGTCTGCTTTCTTGCACATAGTGAGTTTTTCCCGTATGTGTGGGACCTTAGGGAAAAGAGATCCCCTCCAGTGTTTTGTGCATGTGAGAAAGGCACAAATGGGGGTTTAAGAGTTTCTTTCACAAAAAAATGAAAAGCTATTTGCTGATGATAATGTATATAGTACTGTCTTTGTCTCGACTGATATGCATGCTATTCTGTCGGAAAAAGCAATGTGATACACCAAAGATATATGTGATTAAATGCAAATAAAATTTTTTTAAGATAAAAATTTTTAAAAAGATTTGAAAATTTTCTTTTAAGTCAAAGCTAAAGGAAATTTATGTTCTTCAGTTTCTATGAGAAACAGAAACCTAAGTACAGTTAGAAGCTCATTTCTTTTTCCTGCTTTTTGTCTGTTTGCAGTTTGACTTGTGTGACAGGAGGAGGCAAATGAACGTTTGCTTTACATACTTCATCCTCTGTTAGCTTACAGCACTGAGGTAAAGAAATTAATATTGACATTCAGCAGAGAAGGCAGGACATTATTTTCCTGAACCTAATCCCTTTTCCTTAGATATGTGGCTAAGGAGTGGTAATACTGGGATTTTCAGGCTTGACACAGCTCTCTGAACTCCCTCAGGGTGCCACCTGGTGAGGGTGCCTGTGAGCTGGATGTTCAGCTAATGCTTCACGTTTTGTTTGCTTTTTAGATTTTTTTGCCATAAGGCACATGTGCTCACTGGAGAGAGAGACAGAGACAGAGACAGTGAGAAGGAAAGTGAGAAATCACCCCAAGAGGGGATGGCCACGCTGTAGTCCCTTCTCCATTTCCTTCTAGGAATCAAAACACAGTCAGCCATGTGGGAGTCCAGCAACATAACCACTACACCATTTACTGGTCTCTTTATTTATTTATTTATTTTTGCCAAAGATCATGTCTGCTCTCTGGGGCTTAGGGGTGGGATTATAGAGAGAGAATGAGAAAGCATCTCCCAAGGGGGATGGTGACACCTCAATCCCTTCTCCTCCATTTCGAGAAGGCATTATATAATACTTAGTGATAGCATGAACCATTAACTCAGGCTGATTTAGGTTTAAATCCCTTTCTCATCACCTTCTAGCTGGGTTAAACTTGGGTAAGTTTAAGCTTTACATTCGTGATTGGTAAAATAGGGAATAGAGATAGTAATACATCTGCCTCATAAATAAGTTGTATTTAATGAGATGATGTGGACCAGCAGGTGGTGTGGTGGTTAAGGCATTGGATCCCACATGGCCAACTCTGTGGTTCAAGTCCTGGACCTGCTAGCTCGAAAGATATCCCAGGCATGTGTGTGTGCATGCCCATAAACCCAAGAGAAGGAAGGAGAGGAGATTGAGGTGTGGCCATCCCCTGAGCGGGGATTTCTCACTTTCCCTCTCTCTCTTTGTCTCTTTCTGGTGAGCACACACACCCTTTAACAAAAGCCTTTAAAAAGAAAAAAGAAAAGAAAAGAAAAAAATGAGATGACATATATAAAGAAAAGGTTTTGGCTCAATATCTTTGCAAAGTCAGTACTCAGTAATAGTTGTTCTTTTTCATTTAGCAGCTTGTTTTTTAAACCTTATTAATTTAGGCTAACATACCTTTTGGAAATGATCATATGAACGTGGTCTTTGTCTTCTTTCAGTACAAGTACGGAAAGCTCTCTGGATGCTGAAGGTACTTTTTCTTCTCCTGAAGATTCTCTATGCGAGTCTAAGATCATGAATAAGCCACCGACACCCTCCCGATCTGCTATGGAGATGCCTGCACACCCAGCTCCTCGAACCGTGTCGGATGAAGAGATGAACTTTGTTAAGACCTGCCTTCAGAGGTGGAGAAGTGAGATTGAACAAGATATCCAAGGTCAGCCCTTTTCAGACTGTCTCGCAGTTGCTCTTGGCCTTTCCTGTACGGCTGACTGGTGCCTTGGTGCTGCGCCTGCTCTGCGTGTGCTGCTGAGTTTGGGCGTGGTGACTTGGACTTCTTTTGCACTTGCAGTGACCTGTAAGCTTGGTCCACAGCCCCTAGACAGCTATAGGAAGAGCCCCCCCAGATTCTCTCCTCTGCACTCTGGGGGTTCCTAACACTGAAGACATGCGTGATGCCTTTGCTGGGATTTTCTGCATTGGTTGATTCCTCCTACAGAACTTTATCTGCACTCTGGCTTCAGTTGTTCCATACTTAATCTTTAGATTTCCAGTTTTTTATTTGTTTGTTTTAATGCCAGATGGTACATAAGCACAAAGCTCAGAGGGAGAAAAAGAGGGAGAGAGAAAGCATCGTCCCCAGTGAGACCTGATCGCGCCGGTCTCCTTTTCCTGGTTCATTCTTCCTGTCAGGATCCTGCGCATGTGTGCACGTGGACGTGGCATGCTTCTTAAGCTGCCGGAGCCAGGATTCAAACTAGTTTGGCCTGTGGGATGTGGCTCCCTCCACACAGCGGTGAACCACTGTGCCATGGGGCCGGCTCTGGACTTGACTGAAAGTGTTTTCTCCATGGAGCATGCTTTGTTGGAGCTGCCGAGGCCCAGGAAACCTGAGCAGTGTCCGGTGTGAGACGGCGTTTCCCGGCCTTCTGTTTGAGGGCCTTTGTCCTCACTGCCATTTCGCTCAGATGTTCCGTCTCCCCTTCTTTTCTCCTTTTATGGATGGAATAAAAAAAAATAAAAATAAAAATAAAAATAAAACTCTGGATTACTCCCGAGTTCTTATTCAGAGAAATTTAGCTCTAACTTTGTTCTGCGTTCTCATTTCATAACCTATCAACTGGGACAAAGATTTTATACCCAAGTGGCCCATTGAGGTCTTTTTCTAAATTTAGACAGTTTTCTCCTTAAGAAATTTTGGTGCCAATTATCAGATAATTTTTAAAAAATCTTTTTAATTTTTAAAAATCTTAATGTAATTATATTGAACTAAAGCCTTCATAAGCTAAAGTACTCATTACTCTAAATCCGAATACAGATTGGGCCAGCACTTGAACCTAGTAGCTCAGGGGGCCCTGTTGCACATGGCCAACTGCTGTTTGAATCCTAGCTCCAGTGAATTGAAAAACATGATAATGTGCCCCGAATGCTAACAAGACGGAGAAATTTAGAAGGGATTGCAGCATGACCACACCCTGTTGTGAGGGTGCTTTCTCCCTCCCTCTCTGTCTCTCTGCCTCTGGTGAGCAAAGCACCCTCTGGCACTCTGGCAACGAAAAATTTTAAAAAATCCTATATACAGGTTGACTATCCTTCATATGAAATACTTGGGACAGAAGTATTTTGGATTTTAGAATATTTGCATATACATAATGAGATATCTTGTGTATAAGATTATGTTGAAATCCAGAATTTATTTAGGTTTTATATATATGCCTTATACAACGTATAACCTGAAGGTAGCTTTATCTACCATTACAAAGCTGGAGGCACTACTGACCTGTGTACATGCCATTTTATTACCCTTTAGGTGGGAGTACTTGTTTTAGAAAATAGAAATGTGTACAGAACACTGTATTGTAGTTGAAGGGGTTAGGAGGGTCTTTTTCTTTGATAGTACAGAATAAACTGTGTCATGTGCCTGCGTGAGGTCATTTGGAGCATTTTGGGTTTGAGATTAAAGATGTTGGGAACAGCAGTTAGCGTAATGGCTACGTCGCTGGACTCCCATGTAGTAGACCGCGGTTCGCGTCCCGGACCCCGTGGCTTAAAACTCACGCCAGGTGCATGTGCATGTGTGCCCAAGATCCTGAGAGGAGAACGGAGGAGAAGGGATTGCGGCGTGGCCATCCCCCCTGGAGATGATTTCTCACTTTCTGTCTCTCTGTCTCTTTCTGGCGTGCGCACATGCCCTATAGCAAAAACCTCTTCAAAAAAAAAGGAGGTTAGGGATGTTCAACTTGTACTACTTTGCGGCTCATTAAGGGAAGTCGAAATCATTAGCACCCTGGGTACAGATAGGCGATATTCTTTGCTTAGGCGAAGCAGCCCATGTGACACGGAATGAGATGATTTTAACGAAGTGTTCTTTTTTCTTTTTAAACAGATTTAAAGAATTGTATTGCAAGCACGACCCAGACTATTGAGCAGATGTACTGTGACCCTCTCCTTCGTCAGGTAGGATGAGAGTTGATGGGCGGGTAGTCGAGGCATGATGGTAGATAGACAAGAAAATCTGATAGCTCCTTCGAAGCCAGTGGGCATTGCCCCAAGATCTAAGAATAAACTTAAGCTAGAAATTGATACTATTTTATTTTGTTTTAGGCTAAAAAGAACAATACATCTCTGACTAGTAATCACAACCTAATACTTGTTTTGATTCTGCCCTGTGATATTTTTTCATCTAGTAGAAAGGCTTACTGTCAAATACTAATAAAAATTTCTTACAAGGTTGAAGTAGTGCATTGGGGAAAACTGAACCATCCTTTCTAAAGCACGATGGTCCTTTGTTTAGCAGCATGCTTTCACGCTTCATTTCTGTGATAACTTTTTGTTTTGAAGATTTTCATCATAGGGCATGTGTGCTCACGGGAGAGAGACAGACAAAAACACAGTGAGTGAGAGGGAGAGGGAGAAATTACCCCCCAGCATGGATGGCCATGCTGCAGTTCCTTCTCCATTGTCCTCTCAGGATTTGGGGCACACAGGCACACGTGCCTGGAGTGTTTTTCAAGCTGCAAGGTCTGGGAGTCATACCTCAGAGTTGGCCCTGTGGGATCCAGCGCCTTATCCACCCTGCCACCTGCTGACTATATATCTGAAATAGTTTATCACTCCAAAAGAGAGTTACACAGAGTAAAAATTCTTATTATACACAAATATTTTTGTTTAAAATAACACCCCTGGATATGGAGAGAAGAAGAACCTCCAATTAGGGGCATGGCCTTGCGGTGTGAGTGGATACGGTTTGCCGAAGGACAGCCCTGTTCCTTGAATGGCATGGAGGCACAATTCCTTGCGAAAAAGCAGTTCAGCTTATAAAACCTTGAAGTTTCTCCATCTTCTGTTTTGTGCTGTTTTCAAGAACTATCACCACCGGTAAAAACATGTCAGTATACTGATTAAGTATGAGTGTGAGTGTAATTGATTTCACAACTTTTTTGTTTTCTTTTATCAGTGCTTACTTAGCACTTGAGCATTGCTCTATTTTCTCCATATTAAAAAAAATAATGTGCTCTTTAAATGTTGAAACAAAGAAGTATGTAGTTACAAGTTTCTTCATGGGCCAGCAGATGACATGATGGTTTAGGTGCTGGACTTCCACATAGCTGACTGAAGTTCAAGTCCCGGACCTGGCAGCTTGCTTTCTCTCTCTCTCTGATGAGCATACCTGCCCTGTAAAAAATTTAAAAAAAAATTTTTTTTAAAGCTTCTTCACCCCAGATAGGTGAACAGTCACTCCCAAAAAGAAACAAAAGGAGATGTGACTGATTTATAATAAAATACACCAACTTCAGTTTTGGTACCAAATAAAATAGACATAGAACAAAATAGCTGCTAAACTTGTTTTCAGGTGCCAAAGATGGTAAACATTCTTAACTCGAGTGGTCATGGTGACTGCATTTTTAGATAAACCAAGTTTTGAATTGAAACGATAACCAGATCTAGATTATCTCTGGTTTTGAATCTATACTCAATGGAAACTTAGAGTCGAAATTGTCTTCAGAGAGGTCATCTAGTTCAGCTACCCACTTCAGCAGATTCGGGCACTGAGACATAACAGAGAGAGTGCAAGGCTTCCTGTCACTTGTCTGGAATTAGCAGAGTATTTGGATATGAGCCCCGAATCAGATACATGTGTAGTCATTTTTTTCTAATAGTTGGAAAATGTGTTGACTTTTAATGATCTCTGTCAGATTATCGTGCTTAGCCTAACGGAGGAACTGTGCTTTCCTGCTGGCAGGTGCCTTATCGCCTGCATGCGGTTCTTGTTCACGAAGGACAGGCGAACGCGGGACACTACTGGGCCTACATCTATAACCAGCCCCGACAGATCTGGCTCAAGTACAATGACATCTCTGTGACTGAATCTTCCTGGGAAGAGCTTGAAAGAGATTCCTATGGAGGCCTGAGAAATGTTAGTGCTTACTGTCTGATGTATATTAATGACAAGCTGCCCCACTTCAATGCAGGTAAAAGTATCTTAACAGAACCTGGATACATGGGAAACTGTTCTGTCCAGGGAGGGAAACGGTCTTGTACTTCTTTTGAAAACATGTAAACTATACTTTTATGTAATAGTGCTTAAAAGTACAAGCAGTATAAAAGTGAGTAGAAAAGGACAAATGTTTGCTCCTCAGCCCCATTTTATTCCCCAGTTTGTTTGTTTCATGGCAGACAAATGGCGCCCCCAGAGGTCCTAATGGTGCAATCCACCCACAGCCTCAGCCAGCCCCATGTCATGGCTAGGCTGGTGCCTGGCGTGCTCAGGAGGGCTCAAGACTGGAATTGGAACCTTCCCAGAGTATTTTGCCCTACTGCTGTACCAGTGTTTGGCCCCTCCTTCCATGCTTAGCCGACAGTCCCACTCTTCTACAGGATGTCTTATATAGTCCTCAAGAAAAGTTCTATGCATATGCAAACTTTTTTTTATCCCTTCCTCCACTTTTTTCCCCTACATGGGGTATTTTTTTTATTCAATTCTTTACCTTTTTTATCAAGAGACAGTTTGCCATCTATGTTTTCATAAGCAGAATTTATTCTTTTTTCTTTGGTATTAAATTTGCTCATTTAAGAGAGAAGGAAAGTGAGAAAGCACCCTTCCCCCCATGGATGATGATCACTCCTCAGTCCTTTCTTTTCCACCTCTCCTCCTTTCAGGACTTTGGGTATGCACGCACATGCACCTGACTTGTTTTTCAAGCTAGAAAAAACTCTGTGAACTGCAGAATTGGCCATGTAGGATCCAGCTGCCTAATCACTATGTCACCAGCTGGCCCCCTCCTCATTCTTTTCAGTAGCTGCATCATAATTCTATTATATAGAAAAATACATAATTTATTTAATTGGCCTTCCATTTATAGTCCCCTCCCCTTTTGAATTGCCAGGGGGCACATGTACTCTCTAGAGGGAGGTGGGGAGAACCTGGCCGTGGTCGTGCCACGTCCCATCTTCTCCATTGCTTTCTGTCAGGATTTTGGGCATACACACACACCTGGTGCATCTTTTAAGGCATCCAGGGCAGAAACTGAGCCTTAGTCAGCCACATACCACAGGGCTGGCTCGTCTGTCCGTGGACAGTTATCTTATCTGACAGTTTGCTACAGGGCATGTGTGCTCACCTCAAGAGACAGAGACAGAGAGAAAGTGAGAAAGCACCCCAAGGAGGATGGCCACTCCACAGTCGTTCTCCATGCTCCTCCTCGGGCAGGCGTGCACACATGCTCGATGTGTTCTTCAAGCTGCCAGGTCCGGGACTCGAATCATGCATTTGGGAATGTGGATCCAGCCGCCTTAACCTCCACGCCACCTGCTGACCCAGTAAACTTCTAAATTGTCTGGTTTTTTTTTTTTTCTATTTCAATGATACCCAAAAATATGCATTTTTGCACTCTTAAGAAAGTAAGTTTTGAAAGTGGATGTGTCCAGTTTCTCTCTTCTCTTAATAGTGCTACCAATGTGACGAACAGTGGTAATTGCCATTGATGCTGGGATTTCACTCCCTAATGCGTGCTTTCAGATTTATTCCTCTCATAACTTACAACTCTGAAAGGGTAGACGTTCTTACTGTCCTCATTGTCTAGCTGGGTAGCGGACGCAGAGAGGTTCTACAGTCATCCAAAGTCACACTGTCTGTAAATGGCAGGCCCAGATTCAAATCTGGTTCTGATCCAGGTTCTGTGCTGTTTTACATTGTTCTCTTTCTCTTCTGTGAGAAAACTTACAACTAGCAATTAGCATGTAACATATTAAAAGGCTTTTATTTACCTTATTTTACTCTTTTTTAAAATTTTTTTTCTATAAGACACGTACTCTAGACAGAGAGAGAGAGAGAGAGAGGGTGAGAAATCACCTCCCAGAGGGATGGCCATGCCGCAATCCCTTCTCCAGTCTCCTCTCAGGATTTTGGGCATGCACGCACATATTCCTAGAGTGAAATTCAAGCCACCAGGTCTAAGACTCAAACCAGACAGGGGCCATATGACATCCAGCACCTTAACCTCCACGCTACCTGCTTGACCAAAGGCTTTTTCTTTTCTGCTTTTTGTTTTTTTGGAGAGGTTTTAGCTATAGGGCACGTGCGCTCGCCATACAGAGAGAGACAGAGAGGCAGAAAGCGAGAAATCACCCCCCCAGGGGGATGGCCATGCTGCAATCCCTTCTTCTCCATTCTCCTCTCAGGATCTTGGGCACGCACACACACGCGCCCGGTGTGAATTTAAACTACCGGGTCCAGGACTCGAACCGTGGTCGACTACGTGGGAGTCCAGCGACATAGTCATTAACGCTAACTGCTGATCCCAAGGCTTTTTCTTTTTTTAGCATTCAAACTTAGACTGTGTGTATAAGTAAGCAAACAAGTAGGGCATACAGTCCGGGTGGCACATTCTCTTCCTGATTGGTTAGTGTGGTCGGGAGACAGAGGATGTGGGACACTGATCTTCAAATCACATTGTTCAGAGTGTCAAGGGAGGAATAGTTGGTCCTGGGCTTCTTATGCATGTGACTGTCTGGCTGTTGTGGCACATAGGAGACTGGTTAATTGTACACGTGGTCCGTTTTTTATTATAGCAACAAACAAGTGGGAACTGCCCTTTGGTTAGTGAAGGTCTGGTTGACGGCAGCCAGTAAGTGGATGTGCTGCTCTCCCATGGGCTGTTTTGTTCATCTTGGTCACAGAAACGAAATTGAGCCAGCGTTATTCAGCTTTTAACCATTTCTTCATGTTGCTTTCTTCCTTTTTAAAATTTGCTTTAGAGGGTATGTGCTCGCCAAAGAGGCAGAAGGAAAGTGAGGAAGTGCTCCTGTGGGGGATGGTCACGCTAGATCCTATCTCCCCATTTTCCTTCTTTGGGATTTTGGGGAAGAACAAGCACGTGTCCAGTGTGTTCTTCAGGCTGCATGTCCAAGACCCAGACTGTGCAGTTGGCCAAGTGAGATCCAGCCGCCTCAGCCTCCGCATCACTGGCTGGCTCCTTACTGCTTTCTGATGGCACTTCATTGTGTGAAACTTGAGGCAGTATGCGTGTCTTCAAGTTCGTCTCTAACCTGCTGAAATAGATATTCTTATCCATAACAGGTGCAGTGGTTACATTTTTCCACTATTTAGCTTGAAACTTCTGTTGGATCTAATGGTTTTCTGAATTGTCAAAAAGGTTTGGTACATCCAGTGATTGACAGTAATCAACCACTACTCTGAATCCTTACTTTCATTCATTCATTCATTTAACAGATAAAGACTGTCTACATACTAATATCTAGGCGTTATTAATGGGCTGTGGGGAACCAGCAGTTAGCGTAATGGCTATGTCGCTGGACTCCCACGTAGTCGACCGCGGTTCACGTCCCGGACCCGGTGGCTTAAAACTCACGCCGGGCGGGTGTGCGTGCGTGCCCAAGATCCCGAGAGGAGAATGGAGGAGAAGGGATTGCGGTGTGACCATCCCCCCTGGGGGGTGATTTCTCGCTTTCTGTCTCTATGTCTCTCTCTGTCTGTCTGGCGAGCGCACGCGCCCTACAGTGAAAATCTCTCCAAAAAAAAAAAAAAATTAATGGGCTGTGATGGTCGGCTTTGTATTGTCCATAGTTCTAATGGATTATGTATGTATATATATTTTTAGTTAGGGGTTAGAAAAATGAGATGTCTGGCTTTCTTCCTTTCAGATAGGACCTTTGGTTCCTAGTGACATCTTGCTGGATGATACTCCATTTAACTCTGTTTCTCCTCAGAAGCCGCTCCGGATGAATCGGACCAGATGTTAGCAGAGGTGGACGCCCTCTCCGTTGAACTGAAGCATTATATTCAGGAAGATAACTGGCGGTTTGAGCAGGAAGTAGAGGAGTGGGAAGAAGAGCAGTCTTGCAAAATCCCTCAGATGGAATCATCTGCCAACTCCACACCACAGGATTCGTCTACACCACAAGGTACTTGAGAAGGGCCTTTATGCAGTGATCTGGTACCAGGCATGCTGCACTCCCCACCCAGCCGTGACCACGCCAACCGACTACTCAAGGCTGTGGTCTTCTCAGTGTATTTCATGTATAAATGGTATTGCACAACCTGGTGGGATAAATCGTGGCTTTAGAATATGGGGGGTTTTTTGTTGGTTTGTTTGTGTTTTTTTTGTTTGTTTTTGTTTTTGTTTTTGTTTTGAGTGTGTATTTTATTTTATTGAGCGAGAGAGAGGGTCTTACTATGCCACCGTCCTCCTTCCAGCCTGCCAGGCAGAGTCACTGTGTACTGGTGTGCATGCATGCCCGGGGAGGGTGGGGGGGTGTTGAGATTCTTACAGGATCTGAACCTGGGCCTCCCTTGTGGCTTCATTATTGGTCCCTGTGCCCCACCATGTTTGCTACTGTGGCTGGATCATAGAATGTGATTTTTTTTCTTCTCTCTTTTAGAAAAAAAATTTTTTCTTTCTTTATAGTAGAAGGTGCATGCACACACAGGGAAAGATGAGCCCTCCACAGGGCCTGCTCACGCTCCAGTCCTCCAGCCTGTAGGTCCTGAACATTTGCGTGCACACCTGGCACATTTCAGACTGACTGGGCTGTGGATTCGAGCTGCAGTCACCATGTAGGATCTATCTGCTGCTCTTGAGCAGCACGTTACCACTGTGCCAGGCAGCTGGCCTGCAATGTGATTTCCGATGTGCAGAGATAGTATCATGCAGGCTGCCTACCTGTGCTCTCGTCATGTGTGTAGTTTTGCTGATTTTCCAGGTTATAGGAAAAGCTGTAAAATAAGTAGACTTCATGAGAAAGTCTCCAATGGTGATCTTCCTACCTGATCATTT